CAACATGGTAAAACCCCGTCTCTACTAAAAATACAAAAATTAGCTGGGTGTGGTATTGGGTGCCTGTTAATTCCAGCTACTCTCGAGGCTGAGGCAGGAGAATCGCTTGAACCGGGGAGGTGGAGGCTGCAGTGAGCAGAGATTGCACCACTGCACTCCAGCCTGGGTGACAGAGACTCCGTCTCAATAAATAAATATATAAAATAAAATAAAATAATGTAAGAATTGTATATAATAGGTTTTCTAGATTTTAGTTTGGTATGCTGCACCAAATGGAAAGTAGAGAAAAAAATTCTTGGTCCTTTATCGGAAGGCAGTTCAATCTGGTCTCCTGATCATATTAGGTTAGATCAGAAAATAGATGCTATTCAAACTGTAGAATCTTAAAGACAACATTAATTTTGCCAAATAATCTTCTCTTGACTAAAAATTTTATGAATTCAAATATGAAGTGTGAGATCCTGTTATAAAACCTATTTTCTGTATTTGAACTGTAATAATATACATATATACATTTTTTCACTAAGGTGGACAGATCTTAAGTGTACAGCTCCATGAATTTTTACATATGTATTGTACTCTCTTGTGCTTGGCTTCTTTTGCTCAACATGCATCTGTGATAAATCTCTAAGATTCATGTATGTAGTTGTAGATAGCAGCAGTTAGTTCTTTTTCACTGCTATCTACCATTCCATCATATAATAGAATATATGACAATTTATATTATTGTTGGACATTTGATATGTCTCTAGTTTTGGGTTAAAATGAATAAAACTACTGTGAACATTCATTTTTATGTCTTCTGTGGGTTATAGCAATCATTTCTCTTTGTTACATACCCAGAAATGAAATATGAGAGGTCATGAGGTATATATGGTACGTAAGTATATAGATGGCCCTGACTTACAGTGGTTCAACTTACAATTTTGACTACAATGGTGTGAAAGTGATATGCATTCAGTAGAAATCACACTTCAAATTTTGAATTTTGATCTTTTCCCAGGCCAGCAATATGTGGTATGATGCTCTTGTTGTGATGCTGGGCAGTGGCAGTAAGTACCAGTGGCAGTGGTACCAGTCCGTGGCCTGTTAGGACTGAGCCGCACAGCAGGAGGTGAGCGTCAGGAGCATTACTGCCTGAGCTCCCCATCCTGTCAGATCAGCAGCAGCATCAGATTCTCACAGGCACACAAACCCGCTTCTGAACTGCACATGCACAGGATCTAGGTTGCACAAGCCTTATGAGAATCTAATGCCTGGTGATCTGCAGTAGAACAATTTCATCCCAAAACCATCCTCCATATCCCAAGTCTGTGGTAAAATTATCTTCCACTAAACCAGTCCCTGGCACCAAAAAGTTAGGACTGCTGCTCTACAGTATAGACTAAGTTAAACTGGTAAGTTATGTTTGGCAGGTTAGGTGTATTTAATGCAGTTTTTACTTATGATATTTTCACTTTACGATGAGTTTATCTTAACATAACACTGCCATAAGCCAAGGAGCATCTGTAATTTGCTGTACTAGTGACTACCAAAGAGTTTTCCAAATTTTTGTAACAACCCCGTACCAGCAATATGTAAGAGTTCTGGTTGCTCCGTCTCCTTATCAACATTTGGTACTGTCAATCCTTCTAATTTTAGCCATTCTGGTGGGGTTATAATGGTAGCTCACTGTAGTTTTTATTTGTATTTTCATATGACTAACCATGCTGAGCACCTTGCATATGCTTATTGGCCATATGGATCTATCAGTCATGCTAGTGGTTTATCAATTTTATTAACCTATTCAGTGAACCAACTGGCTTTTACTTGCATAGTGGTACCATCATGGTTAAATGCAGCCTCAACCTCCCCAGTTCAACTGATCCTTCTACCTAACCATTCCAAGTAGCTGGGACTACAGGCATGCACCACCGTGACAGGCTAATTTTTTTTTAATTTTTTGTAGGTAAGGGGTTTCTCCATGTTGCCCAGGCTGGTCTCAAACTCCTGGGCTCAAGCGATCTGTGTACCTTGGCTTCCCAAAATGCTGGGATTACAGGTGTAAACCACCCTGCCAGCCACTTCTACTTTCTATTCATTGATACCTGATTTTATCTTCACTATTTCCTTCCTTTCACTGTTTTTTTTTTTTTTTTT